CTTTGTCAAAGGAGAGAGGGAGGCAGGAGCTTTGAGAATTGTTTTCCTCTTTTTATTGATTTGTCCAGGCAGCAGCAAAGCCACAAGGTTTCCCCTTAACCCACCAGCACATTGGTCTGTGTGGTGGGTGTAAATCTCCGTATACAAACCCAGGTGTGCAAAAAAATGACCTTACTTTTCTATTCTAATTAATCAGAATTTGACTTTTACTATGAGGCCCTATGGGACGGAACCACCACCTTATTTTGGGGGTGCGGGCCCCTTCTCCAGCCCTCCCAGGGGAAGCCTTCATTCCCTTTTGCCGTGTCGGTCTGAAAAGCAGTGATCGTACAGGCCAGGTGCTCTAAGAGTCATCGATGAAAAAAAAGGATATAAGAAAAAAAACTCCACCAACTCTTCCAAATAATTCTTGGGCCCAAGAGGTATAAACCCCACCAATAAACGTGCTCAGAAGCAGCGGCCGCCAGGGCTTCCAAGCCTTGGGGCGTCGTCGGGAAGGAGCAGCCGGCGCGAGCCCCCCCAGAGGCGGGCAGGGCGTGCCCAGCAGCGCGCAGCGACCCTCCTCATGACTGGACAAGGAGGCAAGGACGCTCGGCTGAAAATAAAACTAGACAAGAGTAAAATAAAACCAAGGACAGGACGGTGAGGCTGGTAACGAGAGTGAGAACTATTAAGATCCCAGGAAAATACCAGCGAACCCCAAGTCTGGCTCTTTGGGGGCTGCCCATGACCCCGCAATGGACACAGCGGCGGCAGGTCGCAGGCAAGGGGCGCCGCGAGGAAGGGGGGCAGGCAGAGTGCGGGCGAGGGCGAGAGTCACGCACTTCTCTGAAATATATTTTGACAGTGTTTTAAAAAAAGGGGTGCTGTTTTCTATTCAGGAGACAGCGTTGTGCAAACACAAGGGCAAACCTCAAGGGGCGTGTGAGTCTCGGGAAAAGACGAAGGTCACGAGCCCCGCCCGGACGGTGCCAGGCCCTGGTCCCCTTCACTTGGCCGAGTATCGCGCGTGCGCCGCGGAGTCTGTGTAGCCCGAGAAGCTTCTGAGCGCTAAGTCCTCAGTGACCACGTTTAAGGTGACACGTGCAAATTTCCTAAAATTGGATCATCAAGTAAGCCACTGATTTTTCAAAGGCATTTGGAAAATTTTCTAAAATGACTCAGCAGACTGGGCCTCCCCGGTGGCGCAGGGGTTAAGTCTCGTGCTATGAAGCTATCGGCAGCCACCACAGCATGAGTTCGATCCCCGGCCAGGGAGCTGGCCCACTCGGCGCAGCAGACCTCTCCTGTCTCCCCGCTGCTCCCCTCAGCAGTGCTTTCAGTCCATCTGCCTGTTCTGCTCCCCACTCTGTCTCTGGTGAATCCTCTCACCCTCTTCACCTCTGGCCTACACCCCAGCTCTTGTATGTATAAATAAAATCTTTTTTTTAAAAAAATCAAAATGACCCGGCAGGGCTGCAGCAAGGGCCAGGGACATGCTGGGCCTTGAGTGAGGCCCGCACCGGACTATTCTTAGTGTCTTATCTGCTAAGTGAGTCGAAAGTGACACAGTCTCACTGGCTCCGGCCCCACCGACACGCCGAGCCAGGGGCGCGGTGCCCCACATTCCTCTCTGAGGTGGGTGTGGGTTTTCATTTCCTCTTTCCCTGTTCACCTGAGGGAGGGGGGTGTTTGATTTGCTTCTCTTTTTAAACTTTTTTTCATTTCCAAGAGCACAGGGTGTGCGGCTCTTCCTCAGCAGCTTTAGTCAGTCAGAGAACACGGCCTGCGGATCCACAGCTTGGGTGAGATTTTTTCTGGTGTGAAATGCAGTTGTCCTGGGGCTGCCCCCAGGGCCGTGGCGCGCAGTTTACAGGCGGGGCTGGTGGCCAGCGCGAGTCCAGCCGGTTTGCAGACTCCCGAGATGCAAGATGAACATCCCCGATGTGACTGGAATCACTGATGTCTCCTATTTCTAGAAACACAGTCTGCCCTGCAGAGCTGCGCTGTTAGGGGAACAAAGGTCCACGGCTCTCTTCTGGACAAGTGGCCTCTCTCGGGCCTGGCACCTGACCCCCACCCACCCCAGACGGCAGAGCCGGCGCCGCCCAGGTCCCCTCTGCCGGGACATGTCCACATCTTCCCCCTCGGCCCCGGGGTCACTCCAGTGTTGGCTACACTCCTGTAGCCAACTCATGCACAGATTTTTAGCAGTCCACCATTTGGCTGGAAAAGGTCTGCTGCGAGCAGCGGACTTTAACCCAGTCGCATGGACGCCATGTCTCCCAAGAGGGGCTGTGCCCCAAAATCAAAGCAGAGCTCACGAAGGGGAACAAAAGCCCAAGGCCTGGCAGAGGACACAGAGGGGCCAGAGGGGTCACACAGGGAACGTGAGTTACTCCCCCCATTTTTGTGTAGAAATGTAGATTGTGTTGTATTCTTAAAAGAGCAGAATACATGGGGCCTGCAGGCCTGTGTCCCACTGCGGGGGTTAACGGCTACAGGAAGTAGGGGTATCGTCCCAGAGGGGCAGTCTCGGTTTGCCATGGACCTTAAGTCTCCCTCCATCGCTCCGGACACAACCCAGTCACTCGTAAGCTCGGGCTGTGACTCCCGGGCCAGGGGGTCCTCCCAACGTGGTTTCAGGGTCAGCGCCAGTCGGGCCTGCTGTCCTGACAGCAGCCAGCACACCTCCACCCTGAAGTGCCCGGTCCAGACGGTAAGTCGTATGGTTCTATCTGGACGCGCCAGCCCCCTCCCCGCCCCCCAAAGGCACACCCCCACATGTTAAGCACAGAACCCTGTTATAAAGTGATTTTATTAAATTGATTTGGACATACTGTAGGTCAAATAATATTTTCTGAAGATAACAATTATGGACTTTAAAGCTTGACATAAAATTAGTAGCTTCAAAAGTGTTAGTCATATTCCCCAGCAACAGCATGATAAAATAATTCAACTATGTAGAAATATAGAACTCTAGGACTAGCTGGAAACTCGGAAATCATGTAGCCTAATATCCTCATTTTGCGAGAAAACTAGACTCAAAGATTAAGCGATTTGCCCAAGCTCACATACCTAATAGTAATAAAGCTAGAAATCAAACCAATTTTCCCTAAAACTAAAATTCTATCCATGATATTTCAACTGGCTCTCTACCAACTAAAGGCCTAGGCTCTCCTCTGCTGCCCTCCGCCGCGCCGCCAAGACCCCGCGAGTGGACAGCGCCGGCCTGGAAGGGACCTCCTCGGTGACCCGGCAGCCTCTGAGGGGGCCGTGAGCGCGAGGCGACCTCCCCGCTGCTAACAGGAACGTGTGGGTGAAAACCCAGACCGGCCCACCCCCGAGTGCCGCGGTCCTCTGAGCGCCCTCACGCTGCTTTAGTTACGTAAAAAGCCCCTTCCAGTCGGCAGAAGAAATTAATCCAAATACGAAGAGAAAAATCAAGCTTTGTTTCAGCGTTTCGGTGACTGTTTTGGGTAGTTCGCGGTCCACCTCCTCCACGGCCGGCGGACACCACCAACCTGACCACCCCTCAGAGCTTCCAAGGTCCTTAACTTCCCCAAAGACTTCCTGAGCAAGGACTGCATGTGGGAGTCAACGAAAACAGGAACGAGAAGAGAAACAAGGGTAACAGTTAGTTGCTTTTGTTCTTGTCAATGGGGACTTTGGGTCTTCTAAACATTCCTTGAGTTCCTCCACATGAGTTTTTAATAGTAATCTAGCCAAAAAAAAAAAAAAAAAAAAGGCCTATGAACACCAGGATACCAAGCCCCTCGGCCGCTGCCCCCCGCAGCTCCGGCTCGGGCGCCCTCGAGCGCCCGCCCCGCCGCGCCGAAAGGCCCTCCCTGACCGCTACGAACGCCGCCCTCCCCCCACCCACCAGCTACACCACCACCTAGTTTATTTTCTTCATAGCACTGAATCACTATCTCGAACTACATTACTTATGTGTTTACTTGCTTGTCACGTCTCCTCCACCGCAAGTCGACTCCACGGAGCGGGGCCCCTGCCTGCGTCCGTGGTGTCCCCAGCACCCCGCAGTGCCCGCACACGGGAGGTGCCCAGGGAACGCTGGCTGAGAGGATGGAGAGAATGCGATCAACAGCAGCCAGCCATGCCCGGGAAGGACCCGCTACGGCCTCCTCCAGGAAGGGGCCCTGAGGACTCCTACACGTTATTGCCCAAATGACAGGCCCGAGCGTCAGCGCCCTGCCGGCCACGCCACTCCGGACTCCCCTCCCTAGCCAGGAGCTCCGAGCGCTGCGAAAGGATCCAGAGAGGGCAATTCTGGATGGAGAGAAGTTCTCACTTTGCTTGCTTCTTCCTCCCTATTTACATTCAGCTATTTCCAAAAAAAATTCAAGTTAAAAATATGTGATGGAGCCACTAGAAATTAAGTCTGACTAACATAGAGACAGTGATTAGCAGAATCCTCAAAATCAAAAGAAAGTTCAAGAGAAGGTCAAAGGCGTGGGTTTGCCAGTGAGCTCTCTGCCAGGCCAGGTGAAGGGAAATTATGAGCCACCTAAACTCTAAAATGAATGTTAATGCCATCCAGGAAGGCGTGGTGCTTGAGGACATGTAGGTAAAATGGGTCAGAAATAACGGGACGCGTGGAAAGGCGTGTGGGCCTGAATCAAGCGGTAACCTCAGAAATACCAAACCGCCGCCTCAGCGGAGCTGTCCCTTCAGATGCAGTGACTGGCAGACCTGGGTCTCGAGGGCGAGGCACGGGCTGCTCCCGGGGGGCAGTGTGGGGGCGTCTACGTAAGCATGGCCAGGGGGCTCCGGAGGCTGGGCCACGGCCGTGGGTCTGCGGGATCTCCACCACGGAGGCATCGTGCCGTGACCGGAGGCGCGCCTCTACCTGGGGCCTCACAGCCCGTCCTGGGCAGACACTCAAAGGGATTCCAGATTCAAAGTCAAGTTGCGGAACACACCTGGCATGAATCAGAACATCAACCTCACATATGCCTCTTCAAAAAGAATGTTCTGCTGGGGCTTGCTGTAAAAATTTCTTGGGTCAATGTAGGTATTTACAGGGTTTCCTTCCTAGTGGCACTTATGGGTTTTAAGATTTTTAACGCTTAGCAAAACGCTTTATATAACTGATATTTTGAGATGGTTCCTCTCCTTTGTGTGCACCCGCTGGTGGATGCAGAGGCTGGTGCTCTGGCTGAAGGCCTTCCCACACTCGTCACACTTAAACGGCTTCTCCCCGGTGTGCACTCTCTGGTGGATGCAGAGGCTCGAGCTCTGGCTGAAGGCCTTTCCACACCCACAACATCTATAGGGCTTCTCCCCGGTGTGCACCCTCTGGTGGATGCAGAGGCTCGAGCTCTGGCTGAAGGCCTTCCCGCACTCGTAACATTTATAGGGCTTCTCCCCGGTGTGCACCCTCTGATGCATGCAGAGGCTGGAAGTGTGCCTGAAGGCCTTCCCACACTCCTCACATTTGAAGGGCTTCTCTCCGGTGTGCACTCTCTGATGCATGCAAAGGTTTGAGCTATTACTGAAGCCCCTTCCACACTCACTGCAGACGTAGGGCTTCTCGCCTGTGTGCACTCTCATGTGAATCTGAAGGTGGGAGCTCCAATTGAAGGCTTTGCCACACTCATAGCATTTATAGGGCTTCTCCACTGTGTGGATTTTCTTGTGTCTGTTAAGCTTTGTGGTGGTGCTAAAATCCTTACCGCAATCATCACATTTATAGACCTTCTCTCCAGTGTGGTCTCGCCAGTGAATATGAAGTTCTGATATGTGAAAGAAACCCTTATCACACTTGTCACATTTATGGGGCTTCTCAGCAGTGTGAATTTTCTGATGCATAAAAAGATCTGCTCGCTCAGAGAAAAATTCCCTGCACATGGGGCACTTGTAGATCATTTTTCCTATTTGGTATCGTGACTCAGAGGACAACGTTCCCTAAGCGCTACTACAGTCACAGAGCTGCTGGCTCACACAGTCTCTTATGTGGCCATCCTGGCGGCTTATCTCAGGCTTGCTCTATCCGGTAGGTGTAAGGTCGGCCTAAGCTTTTCCCTGCCTGTCTTTCTACGGAAGATTTCTTCCTGCATAGTGTTCCTCACTCAGTATTAGTATCGATTATAAAGTGACATTTACTTCCACATAAATTCTGTGACTCACTAACACAAAAAATTCTTTTAGATCCTGAGCTGTCAACATTCCAAGGGGCTTCCAAGGTGCAAACCTTTGCGATTTTAAGCCCCTAGAATCTTCCTCTTGTAGAGTAACCTCGCACTTCACACTCGTGGGAGAAAGGCCGCACGGCGTCCCCCGAGGCGGAGGGCGTGAGGCTGCGAGCTGGGCTCGACCCCCAGGCGGCGTCAGTCCGATCCTGTGCCCCCCACACATGGGCCAGGAAGCCCCCAGGAAGCAGCTCCTCGGGCCCCAGCACGTCAGTCCACGTTCTCGAGGAGCCCCACGCGGTATCACTCCAGGCTCCTGCACACAAATACAAACACACTGAACATGCCCTCTTTTTTGTCCAGAACACCGTTCCACAGAGATAGGACAGCAGCAGCACCGACCTCTTTTGATCTCGATCTCGAGGAAGAAGTCCTGTGTCTCGCGGAGAGATGGGCGCCGTGGGTTTGCCGGTCTGGAAAAGAGAATGTGCAGGTATCACACTCCTGCTCACAGTCCAAGAATGTCACCTGAGCCACACCCAGGGGGTATCACGGACACGGAAGGACCCCGCGGGAGACCACACGTCAGCAGGAGAAGCAGCTGTCCTGCGCGGGAGGAGAGGACACTGCCCCACCCTGAACTGCGGACAGGACGATGTTGCTGCTCTTGAAGCTGAAACAGGCATCTGCGTGGCTTTCCAATCCACGGAAAGAACACGCGTGTGACACCGGCATCAATTGCCATTTCCTGGCTTAAGTGTCCTCCGCGGCTTCCTGATGTGCTTACAACAGAATCCAAGCCTTCACTCTAAAACCCAAGGTCCTGCGTCAACCTGCACTTCCACCTCCGCCCAAGACGCGGAGCCCTCGGTTTCAGTTCTCACACGCCAGGCCCGCCGCCAGCCCTTTGGGAAGGTTGCTCCCTGGCCTTGGAGGGCTCTCCCTACCCGGAGTGGGTCTCCGTGTGCCGCCGCCTCTCCCCTACCTGCCCAAAGGTGGCCCCAGCCTAAGCTCTATTTTAATCTCCTTTGATCCCTTCCAAGCACAGAGGACTTGCAATTATCGGATTGTTCCTTGATGTCTGATATGTCTCTTGCACTAGGATGCACACGCCAAGGGGACTCTGAGCTGTCCCTGCTGTCCCCTGGCCCAGGGGAGGCACTCGCTTCACACGCGCTGGGGGCACCGGCAGAGCACATCACGGCAGCCTCCCCCTGCACACACCAGCTTCATGATGATGTAGCCGGTACAGGGACATCTCCCCCTGCCTCATCATCAGCCTTTTGATAGCTAACACGGGGCAAAATAAACAACAAACAGAAGGATGTGGAAACAAAAGAAGAAAATAAAGCCCAAAACATTCCATCTGAAACCCTTCTGGGCTGGGGACCCAGCCTGAGCAATCTGCTCGCCGGCCGCATTCCCGACACGTGTCAAGTAACTAAACATCAACTGATGGCCTTAAAATAACACTTTCAATAATACGTTCCAAAGACAAGGGTGCCAGGGAGATTCCTTTATGATTGAGATGAAAAGTAAATGGGGGTGCTTCCAGGGGAAAGTGTTAGAATGGTGAATTTTACTTGACACCAAAATCTCAGCAAAGTACAATCAATGCCCAGAAATAGTAAAAGCGGATCTAACCCTTCACCCTAGCAATCCCAATCTGAGAGATCGAGCCCAGGATATACTGGCAAAAATAGGGAGTGACGGTGCCGGGCGGTACTCACAGGCCACCCAAGGCCCAGCCACAGCCCCCAGGGCCTCCCGCGTGACATAGAGCGTGTGCAGCACACTCACACTCGCACATGCCTCGGAGAGGTTGCCTGTGTAGCTCTCACACACGCACGTGCCCCGGAACAGCTTCCGTTGCTGAGTAAAGCTGCAAAGAAACCAAACCTCTTTCGGTAGTTTAGCTGCGACAGTTAACACTGGCGTTTGCACAAAGCAGGACCATGCAAGCAACATTAACGTTGTTCGGAACCTAGATTCCATGTAAGAGAAACAAGACATGATAGAAAATCAGTATGAAGCAAAATCTGTAAGCTGGATTTAGAAATGCCAGTTCCGATGCATGTCGTTTTGGTTCCGGCACCAAAATGGTGATGACAAGTGGCGCAATCAGCACCCCTGGAGGGTCCTGGGGATCCGCTGGCTCTAAGGCCTGAGCAACACGGAGGACAGGAGCCTGGTACATGGGGCCACGACAGGGCAAGAGGGCAAGCCCGAGGCCCCAGATACCTCCCCACCCCCCAAGCAGGCCCAGCAGCACCCAAGGATAATGAACACGCCACTGAAACACATCAACACCTCCACACGCCAGGAGTAACAGTGGTTTCCAGGGCCGAAACGGAGAGGAAGCAGACAGATGGGCTCAGGCAGTGACTGGGGGGGCGGGGGGCATCAACATCTTCCCTGCAGACGCAGCGACAAGGACACTGGGCACGCACCCTCTTGCTCCTCTAGGAATGAGCCAGCAAAGTGTGAACCACTGAAATACGGCATTTGGGTCATGACAGAAATGGGCAAACATCGGACGAGAGACCTCGGGGGCCAATCACCTGGGCCCCCTGACCAGCCGGTGTCACTCAGAACAGCCGACCCAGGTGTGTCCAGGAACACAGAAAACCAAGCCACAGCGAGCCGCTTCCTCCGCGGTGGGAGCTCTGGAGCGCTCTTCTATTTGCAGGAAAAGCAGGGACAGAAGAACCGCAACAGTCCCAGAGGTGACCTAGCGCTCGGAGCCAGGGGAGGCGGCAAGGCACTGGCGGACCGAGGGCCTGCTCTGGGGCCTGGCCAGCGAGGCAGCGGCAGGGAGGACACGGTGAGGAGACACAAGTGGGGCCAGCAGCAGGTGACGCGGTGCTGCTGGGGCGCCAGGTGGGATGGTGCCACCGCAGTGACGGGGGCTAACGTCCTGTACTCTAGAGACAGCCCCCAGCTGCAGGATGAAGTGATGTGTGAGATGTGTCTTAAAGTGCTTCAGAAATTGAAAAAGGACAGAGAGCACACGTGGCAAGGCCGAGCCAGGTGTGGGGCAGGATGAACGAGCATCTGCTCCGCAACCGCCTGTCTGTCGTGCTGACGCTGGGGTCCCGAGGCACAGGGCAGAGGGGCCGGGTGTGTGCTTCCGCCCCACGGACCCCAGCTTAAAAAAGTTCCATTAAAGAATACCTTGTAAAAGCAATATAAGCTAGTAATTTTATTAAATCTAAACCCTCATGTTTCTTATATTAACTGTGTCTCTTACCCACTGGGTTTCCAGGGGACACACAGGCTTTCAGGCCCACACTACTGCGCCCGGGGCGCGGAGCAGGCCACGGGCAGCGCAGGCCACAGTGCGACGACTACCGCCAGGAAAACCGCCTGTGGAACTGCTGCTGTCGCTTCAACTGTCTTTCTGGATTACTGTTGTTTTTGACAGAAGGTCATTCTCACTTGCGGGTCGTGCGGTGAGGCACTGGGCAGCAGGAAACACCTGGCGGCCTGGGTCGCCCAGTCGGACAGCCGGGGAAACTGGGATTCTGGAAAACCCGCACGCCGCCACGCACCCTGCAGCCTCCCGGCGCTTGAAGACTCTTGGGAGGAGACTGATGGTGACACTAACAAAAGTGATTTGTCTTCACGTATTCTATCTAATAAAACATGAACATTTGCAAGATTCGCGTAGCTCAGTGAATGAACGTTTTCCAAATGACCATGGGTGAGAAGATAGTCATCACGGGCAAAAAAGCTCCTCAAAGTGCAGGAGAGGCCTCGGGTGACACATGGCGGGACGAGCGCTTGGCCAGCCGCCTTCCGGGGCCCTGCCCGCTCACAGCACCACGTCACAGATGAACTCACAGCGACGGGAAGGCTGCGAGGTTCCCTCTTCCGGCTCCGTTATCTGTGCGAGGCTGGGTTCTTCATTTATTTCACCCAAAACAACATATTGCAAGAGACTGAACACAGAAACAGATGTCTTTTATTTAAGCTGCATACATGCAAAGACATTTGCCGAAATGTAAATATTGCCACTCTTCCTACTAAATGTTTGCTTCAGAAAAGGGTTGTTTTTCATAAAAATGTCACTTGTGTTAGTATGTAGTGGTTTTATCATTACATTTTAATATAAATTACTCAACAAATACTTTCGTAAAGTTCTAACTTGCCATCACGGTAAACATGACTACCTACAACCCACGGGAACAGAAAGTTCCCACTGGCCTCAAGAACACTTTCTAAAGAGTAGAAGGACCCAGAGACTTGAGAAGTTTTCTGTCTTAACCCCACTTTCTGTCAAAGGCTGAAAGTCTGCGAACAACTGTAAATGAACACTTAGAGTTAGTAATTCCCATCAACTGCCATTATTACTCTGGATAGAAGAAACACTCACCCAAATTCCTCCAGAATAACCCGAGTAAAGTCTGTACACAAGAGGACCAAAAGGCGATGCTCCGAGGAAGCAGCCCTAGCGGAGAGGCCCTGGGGTGCTCAGCAGTTCTCCGGTCAGGCACAGCCTGCAGCTCCGACTCTCGGGCCTCGCCCCTGCCCAGAGTGGGCCCCGCCCACGGGGAGCACACGGAGCTTGTTTCAGTTTGGCTACAAATTCTCCCCCCTCATAAATGACCAGGAAGTCCCAGAAATCAACTCAGTCAGGTATCAGCTCCAAAGGCAGGGGCACCTCTGCCAGGCTCTTCTCTACGGGCCTTGGCACATGAACCTCAGCAGGAAGCCACACGCTCCGTGGTGCCTGACTGCTGCCAGGACAGGGCCAGAGGCTATTTGTCCTGCTCAAGGTCACCACCACTTGCCTCGGGGGCCTGGCACCCAGAGGCCGGGCCCAAGTCTGCCCTCAGGAAGCTCCGGTCTAACACAGAGTAGCTAACAAAGATTCACACTCTCAGGCCTAGTTCACCTCATCTCTGCCGTGCTGGTCTTAGTGACAGAACATTTTAGGATTCACGTAACTCCCTGGCTAAGACTACTGAATGCCAAGTCCATTTTTCTTTGCTGCTTCCAACACCAGCAGTCCTGGGAGAGACAGGAAGAGGCCGTCCAGCTGCCCAGGGCAAGCTTACTTTCCAGACAGGTGCGTCCATTGCCCAGCTGCCCCAGCAGCCCGCTCCCCAGAGGGCTTCCAGGGCCATCTTTCCTCTGCACATGCCCTGGGCCACCTCTGTGACGGCGGGTGACAGAAACCCCACCTGGCAGGGTCCAAGGCCTCTCGCCGTGGGGACCTGCTCACAGAGTCTCTGAGAAAGGCCCTCTGCCATCCCTACTGCTCTGAAGAGGCCGCTGAGGCCCCAGCAGGTCAGCTCCTCACGCTTCATCACCTGCTCTCCTGACGCGACCCTGGACGACCCACTGCCAGGCCCTCCTCTGCAGGGTGTTTCTGCCTCACAGAGGGCATGCACCCAGGCCACCTCATCTTGCTGACTGACTTCAGTAAGGGAAGGAGGAGGCAGGCAAAGCTGCAGGGGAAGTTTCACTTCTAGGGGCCCAAGGGAGCACCACTGCTCCAGGCCCAATCTCCTGGGGACACATCCAGGACACCCACACACCAGCCTCAGAACAGACTCCAGGTTTCTGTCCCACCCAGGACGCGCTCAGGTACTTGCAAGTCCCACCGGGTCACCCGGGCACCCTGCATGCTGGGAAGCGGGAATGACCAGGGGCAGGTTCCTCGGGGACCCATCAGTCTTGAGCCCGGCTGCCTGCCCTTGGGCAGCTCCTTAGTCACAGCCCCACCCTGCGCTCAGACGCTACAGTGCTCACGCAGCGCTGCTGAGTGTGCTCTGGTGAGCTTTTACTTCTGGAATTCAGAGAGCAACTTCCCCAAGGGTGCTGAAGTCAACTTTTCAGTTTGGTCACTGGCTCCAAACAGGATTCTCTGACTAAACTTTTGGTATCTCCTTCGGCGAAAGGACAGCCTCTGCTGAAGAAAGCCTCCGTGGCTGCTCCTGACCACTAGCTGGCCCCAGGGCACTGGAGCGCGCCCCTGACCCCAGCTCCTGGGGAAGCGAGCTGTCCCTGCCCTCGACCACTTCCTACCTGGGCCCACTTCCGTCCCCCCTTATTCCTGCCTGGGCTTCCACATGGCCTGCACGCAAGTCCCAGCCCCCATCTCTCCCTTAACAAAGCTCAATGGCCGACAGCCTGGGCGCTGGATTTCACGAGCTACAAGGACAAGAGCTGCTCCCATTTTGTACTTGGAAAATTGCTCTTCGTGTGACTTGGTGTAATGACTCCAAATGGAGAAAACACAAAAGATAAAACAAGTCATGTCTGATTTTCCTTTAACTAGAAGCTGCTGCAAAGGCCAGAGATGAAGTCCACAGAGCAGCAACGAGAAGCATCGCAGGGACGATGCCAAGTCTTCTTCTGGTCTGAGGCTACTGCACCTGCCACCCAGGAGAGACAGGAGGGCAGAGGCCCACGCCCTCGCTGGTCCTCCCACACACACTGCCTGGGGATGGCCAAGGGGCGGGCGGGGGCGGGTGGCTGGGTCTGCTCCTTGCTGTTCGGCTGCGGCTCATCTCAGACTGACCTGTGAGAGATGGATAATGACGTCTTCTACGCTGCCCTGGGATAATTAAAGGAGATAATAAAATGCAAAGGACCTATCAGCGACCAGCAGCATAGCTGAGGCTACATAAACATGGGCTTCCTCGCTTCCCTGATTTTAATTAGCACATGACACATTCATGCATGTGCCAGGAACATCATTCCACAGGCAGAGGCTCCCAGGACCTGACGCCCGGTCTCCCTGTAATTAGGGTTCCTCGTCTGTTCAAAGCCAAATGCTGCTCTCGCTCCTGCGCTGTCTCCCGCGCCTCCGTCGCTACCCTGCCCTTCTTGCCCCTTCGCCCTCCACTTGCAGGACTGTTTTAGGGACTTTCCTCACAGGCCGAACCCCTGATTTCCTGCACGCCAGCGCAGTGGGCAGGGCAAGATCTGCGTCCGTGATGGCACCGTGGACGCTGCACACAGCATGACCCGGCCAGCGGGTTGCAGCCCATCGGCACTGAGGGTCATCACGACTTGGGGGCGGAGCACTGCCCTTGCAATCACAAGTCCTAGGTTCAAATTCTCGACCCAACACTAAACCACTGTGTGAATGACCTCAGCTGATTTGGTCCCATAGGCCTCAGTTTATTCACCCACAAAATGGCCACAAGGCCCACTTTCGTCACGCACCCGCACACCAATGCTCCAGCGCTCACTCTATCCTCAAGCAGGAGCAGCACAGGAGGAGACGGGAAAAAAAGAAATCTTTTCGGGACGCAGATCTTTTCGGGACGCAGAGCAGCAGGCTGCCGCCCACACACAGGCCCGCACGTGAGGAGGGGCTGCCGTCCCTGCCCCGGCACTGGTGCCCCGTGACATCTGCCCTCCCCCAGCGCCGGGGCAGTCCTCCTCTTGGGACAGGCAGGAGCTAGACAGGACAGGCGGCGTGAGAGCAGGGGAAGGGTGAGGTCCCCACACAGCGAGAATGACTCTCGTTGACTGAGCTTACTTCCTCTCCCACTACCAGGACTGGCAGCCACGAGGAGAAAACCATGTCGGGCCTGGGAGGTAAAGGAACAGAGAGGGACACTCAAGCCACCCTTGGGAGGGGAGAAATGCCTCAGGCCACACGGGGCAAAGTCACAACACCCAGAAGAGAAGAGACAGGCCCTGGAGGTGTCGGCAGAAACAAAAAGTGGCCTTTTCTCAGGGACACTGGGAGTGGGGTGTCATGGCAGCTGGCAAGTCAAAAAGTTACAGGTATTTGTAAATGCACTTCTTCATTGTGGTAAAAACATAACACATAGGGCCTCCCCTGGTGGTGCAGCAGTTGAGTGCTGGGCTGCGAAGCTGCCCGCAGCCTCTGCAGCGTCAGTTCGATCCCCGGCTGCAGGCAAGGGTCCCACATGGCGCGCAGACCTCTCCTGCCGCCCGCTGCTCCCCCCAGCAGTGTATTTCGTCAGTCTGCCTGTTCTGCTCCCCGCTCTGGCTCTGGTGAATTCTCTCACCGTCCCGCGCTTCTGACTGTACCCAGTGCTTGTATAAGTAAATAAATAAATCTTTAAAAAAAAACCAAAACACATAAAAAGCACCAAGCACACATACAACTTGCTATTTTGGCCACTTGCAGTGCACAGGTCAGTGGTAGTAAATACATCTGCACTGCTGCTTTCTTCTCTTACAAAACCGAAGCTCCGTACCCACAGAACAACCCCCTCCCCACAGCCCCAGCAGGCGCCGTTCTACTCTCTGTGTCGATGTACTTGACTACTTTACATGTTTCAGATTCTGGCTATTTTTATGCCTGGGTCACAACTCATAACTCGTATTGTTTGACAGACCCACGCAAGCACATCGGGAGACGGCTCCGTGGGGGGGCTCTCCGAAAAGGCACCAAGCGCTGACTGCTTGGAGCCGACACGAGCAAGGGAAGGAGCATCACAGTCAGAAGCGAGGGCTGTCAGGAAGAGAAAGGCATCGCTGCCTGCTCTCAACGAGAGCCAGCAACTAGTCACAACAAACGCAGAACAGCAGAGCTCAGGGAGGGGAGTGGTGATAGCGCGTTACTTCTAGAATGTGCACTATAGTGACTCTGATAGCGAATCTGGCCAGTGGTCTCAGCACACATCCCTTGCTTCCAGGAGCTCTAGACTGAATCGTCCACGAGACTGAGCTAGAAATGCAAAGCCACCAACACATCATTACTAGCTGCACCAGGAATCCACCCCACGCAGCGTTCCATGAGCTCCAGGCCACGGGGAACGCCTTTCCCCATCACTAGTGGGGGCCCCCGCGCTTGCGACCATGAGCAGGAACTCATGGCCTGCCAGACCCACGTCGTAGGTTGCATCACCCCCCGCCCCAGGCCCAATAATGAAGAAGGCTGCCGAGAGGACCCACATCAGCCCAACGGGCAGAGATCGAGCCCCTGCCACTGTGCTCAGGAGCCCTGTCCAGACGTTGGGGTTTCCAAAGAAGGCCCCTTTGGAAAAGCTGATCAGGCCCCTCTATCCAGAGCAGCCTCACCTCACCAGCCTGGTCGCCTAGTCAGGAGAAAAGGTACCACACGTCCCCATGGGCTTCTCCTGGGGACCGCAGGTGGACCTGAAAGGACAGAGGCGTTCCCGATATGGAAAAATCCTCTCCCTCACACCAAGCCAACTGTCCTCATCGAGCGAGGAAATGGTATCAGGGAAAGGAAAATCCCAGAACCCAAGACGCCCACCTTCGGTGGCGAGGAAGATGGAAGCCGCGGGCCGGTCCCCTCCCAGGCCCGGTTGCCGAGGCGGGGCGTCCCTTTCTCTCGCTTCCCAGAAGCTCGGGGAAATGCACAATTTCATTCTCTAACACAGAGCTCCAGGCGGCACGGTGTTTGGATTTCAGCAATGACCAGATAAAAACGCACACACCCCTGTCCTAGGAGACATGAATGCTGTCTTCTTGAGTGGAGCTGAAGAGAGGGGAAAAGTCATTTGAAAAATGACCACCAAGCCCCGGCTCTAAAGAGCACAAAGGAAGCAGCTTGTGCCAGGAAGACCAAGCTTCCCAGGCTAAGTCTCAGCAGAAGTGGGGTGAGCCCACCCTCTCCAGGGGAGATAGCGTCCAGGGACTCACTTTTAAGGGGAAGGCTGTTACTCACTCAGCCTTTAGAGGAAAATGCCAGAAACTTAAGTAACAGATCCAGTCTTACAGTTTTAATATCTCAGAGAAGTCAGACACCCTGGGGAAGTAAAACAGAGAACAGGAGTTCAGAAGGCAGGTCTGCAGTCCAGAAGGCGTTCGGGGCAGCAGCAGGAAGCCTAAGAGCTGAGGGGACACGTGCAGAAGAGGAGCCAAAGTCAGAAGAAGCACAGACAGGACAAGACGCTCCTGCCGCCTTGAGCGCGAACAAGGACGGTTGTTCCAGGTCTAGGGAACTCAAAAGCCAGATAAAGGCAGGAGTTTAAGAAAATTATGAAGCAGGGGAGGCTTTTTCTTCACTGAGCCCTAAAGGGCACACGCTGAGACACCTGCAGTTTAGAAACCCATGAGCGGGTTCTCATTTGGGAAAAATGAGGAAACTTACCACAGTGACAGAGTCAAAAATCCCAAGTCCTTTCAGGAGAGGCGGCAGAAGCAGGGCCACGGTGGCTGGAGGGCTGAGAAGTCTTAGGCTGCTGCTGGGCTGCAGAAAGGCAGAGAGAAGAGCAGGAGGTTTGTGCCATGAAGAATTCGGGGCCACAATGTTTCCTGAAGTACTGTCTAGGACAAAAGCGGGGTCTCAGTTCCGAAGACAGGGGAGAGCCGCCGCTAGCTGCGATTCACACAAACATCCAGGATTCAAGGCATGTCGGGGACAGAGGGGCTGAGCAGACCCGAGGAAGCTCAGGAAGGAAGCCCGCGCAGTCTGCACGGCTGTGCGCGAGACACGGGAACCCGAGAGTCATCATTAGACTTTCGGTAAGAACTGTCTCCAAGTCGAGCTTTTGGTTCAAAGGTATTGAACACTGCATAACTGCCTCAGATTGGCTGGAACCCCAGAGAGTCTAAAATCAATAGAGTTTTCTCACTCATTTTTCAGCCTGGAAGAGGACAGGAGGCGCTCGGGCTGAACAGGATCACGCCCAGCCTTCCGCAGACCAGCTGTGCAACCTTCACCTCAGAGATTAGGACAAGAATCACTGAGATAATAAAGGATCTGGCCTGTGAGGTGACCTTGTAGAGTAGTTTAAGGATTAAACAAGCATGACAAGTACTTAAAATAATGCCTGGAAAAAGTTAAGGTCTATCAAAGATTAGCTATCCTGTCACGCTGTGTTTATTCCACTGTCCCATGTTTACATTTCACCGGGACATCTGATAGTTCTAAATGTTGTGAATCCGGGAATGGTGCTAAATCACTGTATGTGGTTCCCCAGAAATTTGGAGGACACAAGTGAACAGCAAAGTGGAATCTCCCCCGCGTGCTAGCAGCTCTCTGAAACAGCTGCATGGATTCCCGCAGAAATCTCGAACACAGGGACAAAGCCTGCAGGGCGCCCCGAGGGACCCCAGCGCAGGGAGAAGACCATGGGAAGGTGAAACTGTTCTCTGAGCACGGGTGGGGGGGGGGTTGTTTCTCTAAGGGAAGGAAGGGCTTTACTGGAAAAGAAGGCAGCTAACAGGCTCTACTTTAAAGGGCAGAACAGACTTGAAGAAGCTCAGCGTGCACATGGGCCTGGTTTGTCTCCCTCCCTGAGCCACAGCCAACCACGGCCCTGCTGGCTGCCAGCCCAGAGAGGGCTGCTGGGCCTGAGGGACCCCAATCCCCACCACGGCCGCGCCCCGGGTACACACCTGGCCCAGCGCTGAGGACACCAGCAGGAATACCAGCCAAGGCAGATGCCCCCATCCCGCTCTCTGGACTCTATGAGCGGGAATGAAGTGATGGGCTATGAGAGAGGCAGCAGTGGGAAGGTTCTGAGGGGCTACTGCAAACTCTGTCGCGAGGAGCCACCTCTAGATGAGGTACAGGAGAGACAGGTTGTGTAGGCAGAGAGCAAGGCAGATGGCAGGGGTGGGGTGGGGGGAGCTACAGAGGAAACAAGATGCCCCGAGAGGCCCAAGTCCCCAGCGGCCTCAGTCCCCGACAACTTTCTGGTCTGGGCATGTCCTCACACCAAAGCCCATTTCTTAAAATGACCTGAATGAATCTCTGCTCCTTGCAAGACGAGGTCCCTAATCACAGCAGTGACTTCAGCTCCCTTGAGGATGGAGCTTTCCCAGGAAGCAGCTCGGTGCCACAACAGTTCCTGGGGCACCCAGCCCTCACAGCCCTGCCTCGAGACCCCTGCTCGGCCTCCTCAACACCCACTCCCTGCCCCACCCCTCTGCAAGCCGCCCCCCTGGGCGCCCTCCCAGGCACACCTCAAGCTGTCCCTGCAGGGGCTCTGACCCCTGGGGAGACCAGCCTCCAAGTCCCCAGCTCCCCGCGCACCTCACACGCCTCGGGCCTCACTAAGCCCCTCGACCCACCCTGCCAGGCACGTGCGAGCCCTGAGGGCAGGTCCCAGTGCCACCGCTGAGCTCAGCCCCGCTTAGCCTGAGTGATGCCCACGCCACACTCCCGCCCAGCCGGTCTCGTCTTCTGAGCTGTGCCTCCGTCTGCAGACACTTCCCGACAGGCCCCCCCGAGAGCTGGGAGCCCCAGCTTCACCCCGTCCTAGTCCCTCTGAAAGGCAACTTTGTCTTCCCTCAATAACTAGCTCAGCGAGGAGCTTTAAGGACAGCTCTCTTCCACGCCCCCAAAACACCTTTCACCTTCGCGCTCACGCTGCTAGCGCCTCCCCCCAGCACTGAGACACAAGGCGAAGTCTCTTCTGCATCAAGGAAAACCCACAATGCACCGGATGTCTTCTCAGGCTGCTACACACGCCTTCTCTCTCCGTTTTCCCTACCCGGGCTTCTTAATGACTGACTTTCCCGATTTCTCCTTCGCCGCGCGCTCCTTCCTCCACCGCCACACCACAGACGTGCCTCCTGCTCACACTCGAGGGCACGGGCCGCCCCCACCTTCCTGGACACTGCTGCCCGTGCTCCCCGGCGGCTCCCCGGCCTGCCTCTGCTCTTGCTGCAGAGACCTCTACTCAGGCCACCTGGCCCGCGGCCGCCCCCGCGCCGGCCTCCCGGGGCTCCCACTTGGCCCCCTCTGCTCCCAGGCTCCAGCCGGGCTGGCTTTAACCATCAAGCCCGCTAGTTCTCACATTCGGCCGTTCAAGAAAATCTTTCACAGGCGGCCTTGCCTCCACGGCGCGTCACACCCCCAGAGGGCGCTCCCACACTTGCGAGCGGCACAGCTGGTCTCGCGAAGGCAGCGGAAGCCGAGCCGAGCCGTGGACGGCTCCCGCCCGCTTCCCCCGGCTCCCGGCTTCTAAGCGGGAATCTGGAGACGGGCCACGCAGCGCTAAGCCCATCACCGTGTAGAGATGGAGTAGAAAGTTCCTGAATACTGGCTTGCCGAGAAGCCGGACGCAAGTCCGCCAGCCCATGCTGTGACCTGGTGAAATGGTGTTAAAGCCCATCCAGCTTAATTCCACGCATCTGAACGGCCATCTAGAAATAACTTTCAAGGCCAGAGGGGCATAACGGGAGTTTACTCAGCAGAAGGAAAGGGTCCCAGTTATTTCTATAAATTGTGTTATCGTTCACCACAGAGGCAAGGCTGATAGTTTTGGGACAAAGGTTTGCTGACTACAAAGAGCTCCTTGCAAGAGCTGCCGCAACACCCTGGAAGGCGCGATCACGGGAGGCCGTGGAAACGGGCGATGATTATTTCACGAACTTGCATGGTATAAAAAAATACATGCGCTCCAGAACAGCTTTACTGAGTTTCTTAGAACATATCAGGTGACACGAGAGACACGTCAAGTTCTAGAGTCAGGACGAAGGCACGGACATGCTTCAAGTGTTAGAACGGAATACAAACTACTCCTTTTTTGAAATTAAACTTGGAAAGCTTATAATACAACCCCAAAACTAGACCTCTTTAAAAAACAAAACAAAACCCTCCCTTTCCCCAATTTCTGTGTAAGTGAACACCCGCCTGGGCACTGGTTACGCACCTCGTGATCCTCCCACTTGGAGGGACCCGGCAACACTCGGCCCCAGGCTAAAGATGACTTCCTGGGCCTGTGGCCACCTCTCTGGGCCATTTAAAACCACTGCAGCCCAAGTGGGCCAGACAGATCTGCTCCACAGGCCCCGTCACAGCAGGCACTGGGGTGGGGGTGAGGGAGCGGGCACCCAACAAAGCCGACAGGAGTCTCTTCCCTGGGGGCTCAGAATTAGGAAGGGAAAAAACAGGTCTGCACGGTTTGCTGGCAGGGGCCAGAGGCTCTGGAGAGGCAAAGGCAGTGCACACGCGCGGCTCCTGGAACATCCCACCAGCCAAGACCCCTCCCCTGGTGCCACGGCAGTGCCTCCGAAATCCTCCACTTGCGGCATCTCTGACGATTTCATTTCTGGCTGAGACCCCTCCTTAGGCCCCAGCGGCCCCTCTGCAGGCGCGCATCACCTGCCCCACGGACCGCCCGGGCTTGCCCCTCCTCCTCCTGCTCTACTTGCTTTTGCCATGGCCACGGCTTCCACGACCAGCCTCCTGGCATGGACCCGGCTGGTGATTCTCAAATCCCAGCCCATGCTTGTGCTGAGACAGAGCCATCGCCCCCAGCCAGTCAGCCACCGACACCCAATCCCCAGGGCACAGGATGAGAAGGGCGATGAGGTCACGAGGTGGGATCAGCACCCTTACAAAGGACACCCCAGAGACCTCCCTCTCCCCCCTGCCACGGTGCACCCAGTGGAAAGATGCCGTGGTGAACAGAAAGACAAGGCACCTGGCAGCCCCTCCCCCTCAGACTTCCCCGCCTCTGAACTGCGAGAAAGAAACGCCTGCCTGTGGATGAAGACCCCCGTCCCCGCGGAACTGGCCCGTCCCCGCGGAACTGGCCCCGCAGCCAAGGGAGCCAGGCCTCTCCTGACGCCAGGAGGCTCTTCCCGGCGGATGCGGAGCGAGGGCAGCACCTGCCTCCATCCTGGCCCGCCCTGTGGAAGGAACCAGTTCAGCAGCATCAACAAAAATGACTCCGACCCGCCAGGCCCGCGGCGACGGGACAGGCTCGAGGGCCCTGGCACTCTCGGGAGGGACGGCCACCGCCGCCGGGGGCAGGCCTGACGAGCCCCGAAGACAGTCACCATGGTGCCACGTCAGGCCGGGCGGTCCTGGCTCCGCTAACAGTCCGGTCTCAGGCAGACACAGTCCCTGGCCTGAAACAATGTACATAATTATATTTCAAGAAAAATCCGACATCTAGAAATTGATTTTAACATAGAATTTGAGTGCGGTGTCCAGCCACTCAAGGCGCATGTGTCTGCCGTGTAACATCACCCTCCGCAAACCTCTCAGGAAGGACCGTGTGGCCTTTAAGTCCTCTGCACTCGGCGGGACCAAAGCGGGACGTGCCAGCTCCCCAACGGCTGCTGCACCCTCAGCTACAGTGAGTGGACCCACCAGTCCCTCAAAGCCAACTGCCAGAGTCAGAAACCCGGTCACAACCCCCCTTCTACCCCCTTTCCCCCATTTTCCTCTGCCTCCCGAACCCCTTCGGAATCCCCCTGCACCATCTCAGCCGTAACCCAGACCTCCGC